AGAAATTAAGCGGTGCGTTGATCTGCTAGTCGGGGGTCTATCATGCCGAGAACTCTGCTCATGTGTTTGCATAATGATGCATTTAAAAGTTAATGACCAAAAGTATCATTATAAAAGTTCACAGTGTTGCCGCACATGAAATATAACGTGGATAACATTACATTTATATTTTTTCCATCAAGTTAGACATTGATTATTTATCACTCAAATCCGTTTATCTACCTGTCCGTTGGTCGCGTATATCCGCCATGTTTGTAGTTTAACACTTTTAATGCGTGTTTGTAGTTCTAATTGAATCCTCGTCCACCACGCAATGTGTTGTGGGCAATATTAGCCGTTAGAGTGTGCGTCGATCTGCACTTACAATTCTAACCGGAAGTAGTAGACCATAGGCATACTTTTTTTAAACATACTATGATTTGGGACATACTAATTCTATTTTCGAGTACTATTTAGGATGGATAGTATGCGAATTGGGACGCAGCAATTGTTTTTTTGCAGTGTTACAAACAGCGCTTTGCCCCGTTTGTTTTGAGGAAACGAGACGTTTGGTTCTCCAGTGTGATGAATGTTGAAGCAGAAACGCTCACTTCCTGTCTTCAGGGTGCGTTCCCACTTGCTGTGTCCACGTGTCGGTCAGACTTCCTCCCGGCAGGAACATGCTGCTGATGTCCTGAAGCGTCTGCTCCATGGAGCCCAGAGAGCTGGAGAGCTGCACACAGAGCGGACATGATGAACACTAGTGTTAATTTCGTCAACGAACTTTACGAAAGATGTTCGTTGACAAGCTTTTTTCCCATGACTAAGACGAGACGATGACGAGACGATAATAAGGTCAATAAACGATAACTGTGACTATATCAACATGCAATATCGTTGACGATAAAATACGTGACTAAAAAGTAATTTTTATCTCTTTTTATTTTTGTCGAAAAACACCCCTCTACTACGTGAGCTTTCATGTTTGCGGTTGCCAGATCTCAAGAGTTCAACTCCCCAAATCAGAGCTTCTCCGTTAAACGGATATAGGGGTGGGCGATATACCGGTACACTTTATTAACCAGTAGAAATGAATTTCTAATTGTAAAATGTATAGGCCTTGTATGTGTCAAAATGCCCGTCTTTGCAAGTATCCTCATAAACACAGTAATTTCGGTCTTAAGTGAACGCAAACAGCTGAGAAAGAAAACACATGTGTAACAGTATATTGGATACGGGCAGCTCTTAAAGTGACAGCAGTCTAATATTCCTGCTGTCTGTCATTCATGTTAATCAAACAACAAAAGAGAGAAAATCTCTCACTGCTAATTTTGAGTGAAATAATCTTTTTTTTTTTTTATCAGTTTACCCATTATACAGCATGACGAAAATGTGAAAAAGTTTTCATCGACTAAAACTACACTAAAATGCTCAGTCATTTAGTTGACTAAAACTTGACTGAACAAAAACAGGACAAGTTGACTAAATATGATGATAACTAAAAAGTGCATTTGACACAGGAATAAGACTAAGACTAAATTAAAAAATGAACACGCTTTCATGAAGAGCTCTGAACTTTCATTAGACTTTGAGAATCATCAGCATCTCACCCGCATCACCTTCTTCCTCATGTCCCGGATCTCATCGTACTCCGCCAACAGGAGGTTTCCCTGCATCAGAGCGTCACACCTGAAACACACACACACACGCACGCACACACAAGGAGCTCATGAGGATCTCGTGTGATCTCGCTCAGAGCTCCGTCTGAACTCACGCGTCACTCACAGCTGCTCGGTTCGCTCCAGCGTCTGGCTGCAGTAGTTACACATGTGAATCACCTCCGTCTTCTTGTGCGCCGTCTCACTGTACTCGTCTCTGATCAGCTCGCTGAAACACAATGTTCATATAGCGCCGCTTACAGAATGATTCACAGCAGCTTCACACAAATAAACAGGAAAATAACAGTGATAATGTGGCAAAAAAGCTACAGAAGACAACTCTTCAGAATGATTCAGTTGAACATTGTTTCAGTTCAGTTCAATGACAGTGTTAATGTTGTTGATTGCAGTTGTAAAGAAGCTCTACAGAAGACAATAGAGTCATTCTTCAGAATGATTCAGTTCAATGTTCAATCGTTTCAGTTCAGTAACAGTGTTAATGTTGAAAAATCCATCAATTATAAAAGGAATTCAATTTTGATTCAGTTCAGTGATTCAATGATTCAGTTCAATGTTTAATCAGTTCGATTCAATAAGTGTTAATGATGCAAAATTCATCAATTATGAAACAAATTCAATGTAAAGCAGCTCCAAAGAAGACAATATTATTCAGCTCAATTCAGTTTAATTTTCAGTTCACTTGAATAACAGCTCATTTTCAACTATGAAACAAGTTCAATTTCAGCTGTAAAGCAGCTCTACAGAAGACTATAGTGATTCAGTTCAGTTCAATATCAGTGTCAATGTTTCAAAATTAATCAATTATGAAACAAATTTTTTTTGCAGCTGTAAAACAGCTCAGAGTCATTATCCAGAATGATTCAGTTCAGTGTTGATTCATTCAGATCAATTCAGTTAATTTTGATTCAATCCAGTTTAATTTCAATTGTGAAAAGTTTCTGTTTTTCTGTTGTCATTTCTGTTGTAAAGCAGCTCTATAGAAGACAATAGTGAATCAATTCAGTTTGATTCATCAGCGCGAGTCGCTTCGTTTCGTGTGATTCATGAACTCACATCAGGCCTCGGACGCCTTTCCTCACCAGCTCCTGGTACAGAAGCAAAGAATCGGACGTCTTCCACAGATATCCAACGTCACCTGCGAATGTCTGAGCAGAAACACGACCAACAGCGATCGAAACATCCCATAAATCATCTATATTTCTGACCAAACTCAGATTAAGAGACTCTAAAAGCAGCATCTCTGATTTTTACTTCTACAGGAAGTAGTTTTTTACCTTGGCGTAGCTGGCGTCCAGATCCAGGTCGTAGCGCGGCTGTACTTTAGGTGGGCTGGCTGCAAACACCGACCATCGTTATTAGAAAAAGAATGGTTATTAAAGGGTTAGTTCACCCAAAAATGGAAATTAGCCCATAAATTACTCACCCTCAATTCATCCTAGGTGTATATGACTTTCTTCTTTCAGACGAATCCAGTCGGAGTTATATTAAAAATTGTCTTTGATCTTTCAAGCTGTTTCATGGCACTCAGCGGGTGTTGCATGCATCAGTCAAAAAGAAGTTAAATAAAAAGCGCCCATCCATAAAAAAAGTGTCTCACACGGCTCCGGGGGGTGAACAAAGGCCTCCTGTAGCGAATCGATGCATTTTTGTAAGAAAAATATCCATATTCAAAACGTAATAATCACTTTAATCTAGCTTGCGCCAGCAGTTGTAGACGGAAGCAGTTCCAGGGGAATGATGTATGAGGTCGGCGTTGCGCATGCGCCGCTCAGAAGTGACGAACGCGGAAGCGCAGCGGGGAGATCAAAACAAAGGTCACTAATTAGAAGTACAAAACGAGGATTTGTAAAGAAGAATGTCGGAGGACTTCGATATAAGCCAAGAGGAGACTGGTATTCCTTTGCTAAAGTAAGGAAACTTTGCTTCCTTTGATCCTGTAAACAAACGTTGGTTTTCACGAGACTCACCGGCGCACTTGAAAGTTCAAAGACAATTTTTAATATAACTCCGACTGGATTCGTCTGAAAGAAGAAAGTCATATACACCTAGGATGACTTGAGGGTGAGTAATTTCTGGGCTAATTTTCATTTTTGGGTGAACTAACCCTTTAACAAATAGAGGCCGACCGATTGATCGGTTTTGCCGATTAATCGGCACCGATAGTTGATTGCTTTTCCGGGTTGCGTCCGTTGCTGGAGTGGCTGAGAAGTGTGAAAGCGACCTCTTCAGATATCGATTTAAACGACAACGATACTGTGTGTATACAGTATCCAATAGTGCATGTTTTCATATCATTACTAAGTAATTAATTTGTTGACTAGATGCTGCATTAGTGGAGAAAGAACAGCAGTATGTTTGCAATCAATGCCGAGAGGACACGAACATTAGCAGCACCTCCAGCAGTTAAAACAATGTGACCAAAACACACGCAAGTCCGACCCAAATGCTTAATGTCTCAATTGTTACCATCTAATTGCGTCCAGCTGGTCACATTAATGTATTTGTTATCGAGCGAAGTTGAATATTTAAAGCTAGCATGAGAAAGCAAACTGATTTGTGACACTGGACCACAAAACCAGTCTTAAGTGTCAATTTTCAAAATTGGGATTTATATATATCATCTGAAAGCTGAATAAATAAGCTTTCCATAGATATATGGTTTGTTAGGATATGACAATATTTGGCTGAGATACAACTATTTGAAAATCTGGAATCTGAGGGTGCAAAAAAATCAAAATATTGAGAAAATCATCTTTAAAGTTGTCCAAATGAAGTTCTTAGCAATGCATATTATGTGTGTGATCCCTAAATATCAGTTGATTAATTTTATCGGCCAGTGTGGTCCAACTAGGGCTGGGTTTTGACACAAATTTCACGATTCGATTCGATTCTCATTCACAAGCTTGCGATTCGATTCAATATCGATTCTTTTGGATACATATCAGGTACAGTACATGCCAAATTTTCTCAAAGAAAAACTAAATCTCTCAACTAATGCTGTAAAATATACATGAGAGTCAGTTGGTACTACATTACTATAATATCGAAGGTTAAAATTTACTGATTTGTAGTACAATGAAGTTTTTAAAATAATAACGTTAGAATTACATAATATT